GTGTGTGTGTGTGTGTGTGTGTGTGTGTGTGTGTGTGTGTGTGTGTGGAAAGGAGAAGATATATAAACAGTCCCTGTTTGGGCTTTCAACTGAATGCACCTCTGTATTATACCATTTAGTAAGTCCAGTTAAAACCTGTCAGTATCTTCAAATTACGACTCCACATAGAGGTGGCAAAGCACCACTGCTGTATGTGGAGCCTTGTCTCCCTCTAGTGGCCAGTCTTAGTAATACAGTGGTGCTGATATTGTGACATAGTGTACTGTATAGTGTAATGCCTTTTTCTGATGATAAATACTGTTTGTGTCATCATTGTTTTTAATTGTAATCATATTTACATATTTTAGTTTTAATGAATGCGATAATGAATCCAATGATGTAACGTGTGTATGTTTATTACATTGAATCTCAGTCAGAATTTAAAGTTTAATTTTTTTATTTCATTTTTTATTGCTGTCATCATTTCTCCTCTTACACAAATGCAATACATACACGCCACGCCAAATGTAGAGCTGGAACTTAAAAATAAACAAACAGGCCTAAAGTATAAACCAGTTCCCTCACATATAACAATATATGTTTATACATAAATTAATCCATTACACTTTAAAACTAGAAAAAGCCAAATGCCATAAAAATCTTCAAAAGTCCACATTTGGATCATAAAAAGGGATCTGTCCTCCTGGGATCATCATCATTTAATCTAAAAGGAGAAAACACAGGGAATGTGTCAGGATATGGTGACCTTTCTAGAATTTAGAATAGTTTGGGTAGTTTGAATTTATATATTATTTATTTAATATGTGTAAGCTAAATTCAAACCACCCAAAATATTTGAATTCCATCATAATAATAATAATAATAATAATAATAATAATAATAATAATAATAACAATAATAATAATAATATGGAACATAACAAAGACTACAATTGAGTTACTGGACGATTACTTTGAAATACCATACTGTTGTATCTTACCTTCATCAAGGTAGCCAAGACACCATAGATAAGGGAGATGAGGAAGAAAATGAGGAAAATGAAAGCCATATACCAGCTATCCACAGCTGTGTCCTGGTACAGTCCAGCATGCATGATGTCATCTATGAAATCACAGTCCTTCAAGGAGTCTGTGAAGGAATTAAAACGTGAAGGATTTATTAGTTAACTAGACTTTGTTACACTGGAAGGGGAGCTGGGAAGAGATATTAATAAAATAATCCACGGTGGTTAACATACTATGTGCAATCTGTAAAGTATAAGAAAGGTTTGGATCAAACAGGCACCTGGTTTAGATATATCCAGGGATAGGGTGATGTTTGCATGCGTCACCCTGCAGGTGATGTTCGCCCCAGGTAACCAGATGACTTGGGACAGACGCAGGTGGCTTTGAATGCTGAACTTTCTGTTTGGGCCTCTGTGGGGTTCACTAGTGTTGTAGTCCAACAGTTCCCTGGTGTCATCCAGAAACCAAGTGACGTTAATGGATGCAGGGCTGAAGCCGAAGACCAGGCACACAAGTTCACCAGAGCCGTGGAGCAAGGTCGCTGAAGGTTTGCTGTGGGTCACTGTGGCTGCGGGGAAGATAGTCATGAAAAGTTTTTTGTCAATGAATGTGTTTTGGGGAAGCTCATGAAGCAAAAATGAACATTTGTGAATGCTTTCATAAAGAATTTAAATCAACTTAATCAAGTGAGAGTTTTAAAGACGTTCTACTTATTTTCTTCTTTAGCTAATTTATGCTAGTTGACAGCTCACCATACACATCCTTTATAGTGCTTTCAGATGACTCGTGTCTGACAACACAAGAATACGTAGACTCCTTGTCCTCCGTTTGTGATGTGTTTAGTCTGCTGCTCATTGAATATGTGCTGCTCCCTGTGTATTTCCATGTTGGACTGTTGGTGAAGTGAGTTGAAGTGAGTCTCTGGCCATTCTCCTCCCAGTACACTATGATATTTGACGGGAAAAATCCAGACACTTGGCAAATAAGTGCGAGGCCGTCTGAGGTAGAAAGGTCATCGGCAGTTGGTTGTATTATCTTCACTGCTGGTGGATACAGCTCTTGAGAAAGACAAAAGTAAATGAAGCTTTATATTTTTACCATTTCAATCAAATCATTTAGTCACTCACAACCTCCACAAACATCATGGACAATATATATATTTTTTTAATGTAAAGTTTCTGATGCAATCTTGCCTTCTTCAACTATGTTGAACTCTCTACAAATTCAGAAACGGCTATAAGCAAAGGCAAGGAAACAAATCCATAATTGTTCTGCAAAACACTACCTGTGCTTTTGGTTGTATGGTCCTCATAGCCCTGGTTGGAACATCGGTGCTTGGCCTCACAAGACACTTGTTTAAATGCATGCCAATCCCCCGCTGGCACATTGAGGGAGCTCCGTAAAGTTTCTGTCCCATTGCCATGACTCACTAGAGGCTCCTTGTGGACATTCAGGGAATAACTGTACCCGCCTACTTTCCAGGTGACGGAGAAGTCGTTAAGAGAAGGGCCAACCAGAAGACAGCTGATAGTCACATGTCCCTTGTTCTGAAGCTCGTCGAGTGGCGGTCCCTGAACATACACGCCAACTATCTGAGATGATGCAGGAGTTACTGAAAAAAGAATGTGACATTGAAGTGGCAGAAAATGCAACCCCCATCAAGTAATGTTTATGAGGAAAAAAAGGTCTCATGCTTAATGGATGATGAATGAATTTCTTCTCTACCAATTTTCATTTTACCTGAGCAGACGCTGATGTCCTTTGTCAGATTTGTGTTCAGAGACTTGTCAGATACTTCACAGGTGAAGACGGTCCCTGTTTTCCACTCTGTGTGAGGGACATGAAGTTGGCTGGTTACTGCCACACGTCCATCTCCTCTCATGCTGATGTCATTGGTTGATGAAGGTCTGTGCTGGGACTCAGAAGACCATTTAATTTGAGGGTTGAAGCCCCAACCAAAGCACAGGAGTGTCTGTTTTCCTGACTCTTCACTGGGGGCCAGAAAAAGTTCCATTGATGGGTCCACTAAATAAGAGATGAATCAGTGCATTAATGAATCAATGATTGTGTCTATTACAGATAAATTAAGTGTGAAACATGAAATCAACTGCCACTAAGGGAAAGAACAGTTACTCCTCTCACCAAAAAAATTGCCTATGGAGTTTGACTTAATGCTGCTGGAGAATCCTTGGGTCACTTTGCAGGTGAAACTTGTGTTTGTCTTCAAATAACTTGAAGGAACAGAGAAACGTCTACTGATTGAATGGAGGCCTGGGGCTTTAGCAAGTTGAACATACTGTTTGTCAGAGATGTCAACACTGTTGGCTTCAAAGTTGATGTACAGGTCACATGATGAGAGGTTTGTGACATCACACTCCAGCACAGCACTGTCTCCTTTCAGCAAATCTTTGAGAGATCTCCTGATCTCAACCAATGGAGCTGTAGCTGCAGGTCCTGGATGATACAGAAAGAAAACCGAGCAGAATTTATTCTTTTATGCACTTTGCTGTCACAAGACATCTGATTTTCATGGTGTATAGTTGTCTTACCTCTGACATTCTCAGTGTTCTTAGTGGATGAGAAGCACTTATGGTCAGCTTTACATGTTATCGACTTGAGTTGTTTCCATGTACTTGAAGAAACCGTCAGTTCACTGACTAAACGAGTTGTGTTTCTGTTTTCTGTCACTGTGCTACCCGGTGCGACTGTCTCATCCATCAGCCAGGTCACCTTAGCATCAAGAAGAGTGTCGACAAAACATGTTGCTTTTACGGAGAATTCTGCCATCATTACTGTCTTGAAGCTGGGAATCTCCACGTGGATGGAAGGAGAGTTCTTTGTATGATCTGCAGGAATAAAACATGCTTGGTCCTAATTGTTAATTCAAACATTTCAAATAATGCATGCATTTTTGTCTTAAAACATTTACGATATGTCGGCAATTTCCATATTGTGCCATGAGACAGTAGACATACATACTTACATTGACAAATACTTATTGTTTTCATAAATTCCTGATTGTTGTGAACGGACTTGCACGTAAAACTTGAGGCTTGTGCCCACTCAGTCATATTTGGCTCGATCTCACTGCTCAGACTGATGGTTTTCTCCATTTCCTCCACACACTGCAGCTTCCTTGGGTGTGGCACAGTATTTAGAGTTTGGTTGTCCTGCTCCCACTCCAAACTCAGTTTGTCTGGAAAGAAACCACTAATGGTGCAGATGAGTCTGCTTGGTAAGGTCCCGAATTCACCCTCCCAAACTGGGTGTATTGAGATGTTTGGCAAGGCAACCTCCTTGTCTGCGATAAAGAGGAGATAGTTAAGTCTTTACTTGCCTCATTGTAAACGTTAGATGTACACATTGTTAAAATATGTGCGGATTTCATCCCTTCAGTCATACATACCTTCAGATCTTGGTCAAGTAACCTCTGTTTTCTCAATTCTACATATGATATCTTTGTATTTAGGCTAGATCGCGGAGTTGTACTGTTACAGTGTCTGGTGTCTTATTGTCAGGTGGAGACAGGGCTGGGGGCTGTTGCACAGATGTCGCAGCATGGCAGGGCAGAGTGATCAGAGCTAGCAGCAAGCGGAAGCATTGAGTAACACCCAGGTCCCAAAAAAGTACCAAAAAACAGAAGTGAAACAACGCAAAGAGCAATGGTGCATCACGGACAGCAGGTGTGAGGTGTGGCTGTGTCAGTTAGAGAAACAGAGTGCACATTTAAATGTCTCACATCACTTTACAGAAAGATTTCACATGGCTTCTCATGACATTGCACGGTTTCAGTTCTCGACTCTGTTAATATTAGACCCGAGAACTCACCGACTGCCAAATCTCCAAATGTTCACATTAATTTGAACATGGGCTGATGATTCCAGGTGCTAGGGAGGTGATGAACATAAGAACATAGTGCATAATAAAGTATTTCTTTCAAAGATAAAAATGCTTGAAAAAAATAAAAAGTACTGTGAGTATTATAAATGATAGTTTATCGGTGAAACTACAGGCAGTATGTACAATTTCAAAATAATGGAAAAACAGGAGGAGCGACATCAATGGTTATCTTCATTTAAAGGTTTATTTCCAAAAAAGACATGAAGCTCTTGTAATTAAAATGAAAATGGACACTTGTGATTACTTACATGATACTATTGAGTTTATAAGAAGAAATGTATGAATTTTCTTTTTTTTCAAAAAAAAGTTTCACCTTGTTTCATTTAACCTGAAAAGACAGAAACAATTATATGGATTAGTAATATTGTAAAATAAACGTATCGACATATGTAATAAACAAAATGTTACAACTGCCTTCTGTTGCAATTTGTTCTTATTTGGTAAATAAATTTAGCTTATTTTACCTATGACCCACAATTACAGCAATTGTAAAATATCATTCAGTTCACTATAATAGCTCTGAAATTTTAAATAATTAATTTTTGGCTCAACATTTTAACTTGTCAACTCGGTATACTACAGGTTACCAAAGCATTCGACCCATCTCTCCTATAGTCTGTGAAACACTTCATGCTTTACAAAGGTGACTCTTATTTTTTAGTTTATAATATTGCAAAGCAATAAATTGCACAAGCACTGTTGTTTTTTGAATGTGCATGTATCATTCAGTGATAGCTGAGCTTTTTTTTCAGACACTTTTTTAGAATTTATTATAAAAACGCATTATGTAAAAAGATAGTCATTTTGTCATTGGTCAGAGTGTTAAAGTGGCAATCCATAAGATTTCAGTCCCATGCTTTTGTTACATGAGCTTCAAGTTTTCAGAATTAAGTTCTCCATTTTCTGTGTACATACAATGGAGAAAAATGTTGACGTAGCATTTCTGTCCAGGAATGGCGCCACCGACACCCAGTTCGTAATATAGAAATAAATAAATATTTCAATACTCAATGGGCCGTAGGCTCAATCACCATTGTGTTTCCCCCTTCGGCGATAGATAGTGACTTAACAGACCTTTTATTTAAATGAAAATCTTTGAGATTGCCACGTTAAATAAGGAGTTACAGCAGCAATATGTGGTCAAATGTTATATACTGACGTAGATGATTAATATCATCACGGCTATACCCTGTATGAACCTTTTGTCACTCTTCATGTTACAGGAGTTTTCACAAACCCATTTACTCAGTTGTCTTTTTCTGGTTAAATCCAAATCTGTGCACAACTCTGACATAAAAACTCATCATTACCTTGAAAGCAGTGGTTCCGATGGTGAACAGCAGAGTGAAGAGGAAGAGAAGGATGAAGGTGAGGGCTGTGTTTCCTATGTTATCTTCTTCCTCCATTGCACTGTTGCATTGGCAGACCTGTGAATATACTGTAGTGTACAGTAATGATTCAGTTAACACTTGCAGCTTTGACCAGCAGCTCATGAGACAATGACCAAATTCTATCAATGACCAAATTCTATAAATCTTCCTGTAGTAGGGTCTTTTATTTTATAATCTAGCCGGTCAGAGTGGATCTAATCACTGAATCAATCAGTTTAGTCAATCAATCCAAGTTTGAAAGAATATTACAAATTAAAAGAATAGTATTGGCATATGTCTTGTTACTTATTACATTGCTATTAGTTAACCATAAAGCCTAATTGTTTTGATTATGTTGATTTAAGTCGCCCTACAATGATCCTGAATTGCTTTTGAAAGTCCCCATTAATGTTGTGGCAGGCATGACTTGGCTTGTGAATTAAGATATTAATCTTTTGATGGAAAGACCACAGAGCTGGAGTTAGACCTTAAACAATCATCTTTCTTGTAAAGGGGGTGCAAGACCCAGTGGAGGAAACACATACACAAAGACAAGTCACACAAACAATGCACCGTCTACAAATAACAATGAACAAATAGGACACATTTAGTGAAATTGTTGCCTAAAGTTAGTGGGTTGTTGTGGTGTTATTCTAGTTAATACAGTATGATGCGGTAAGTTTGATGTATTTTTATCAAACATGGTGATGGCTACACCTAATTTGTGTTGCATTAGGATAACTAAGTGTCACTACACTAACAATAAACGCGTAGCTCAAAATATTTCTTAAATAAAGACATGAACAGCATGCGACATACATCAATAGAGTTGCAAAGAGCTTTTTTTTTATTATTTTTGTTTTGATAAGCATTAAAAAGACAATCACAATGTCATATCACAAGCAACAAACGTCAAACAACAAACAGCAGCAGAAGACACAGCGACACAAATTGACATCTACTGGAGCTTGCACGTTTCAGGGATGTTCATGTTGAGGTTGACCAGGTTGATTCTTTCAAATGTTCTATGCCCAATGGACCTGACAATAGCTTTAGTTGTGTTAGCCACAGACTCGTGGTGAACCACACAGCTGTACACCATGTCATTGTCTTTCCACTGCTCAAAGGTGAGAGATAACTGGCCATAAACAGAATAGGATTCATGGTTTCCTATGGGGTTTGTGGTATGGAACTTGTATTGTTGTGAGTGTGCTATCTCGTCATCAACAAGCCAAGACACGAACACCTCCTTAGGGAAGAAGTCTTTCACATAGCAAGACAGGGTCACCAGTTCTTGGCTAGTATGTTCTAGTGGAGGTAGCATAAACACTGAAGGTCGCCGAGTCTCTCCTCCTGCAAGTATGAGAGAACATTTAGAGCTCCTGCTACAAAAGTACCTACAGTACTGCAAAACATCTCTTAAAATACACTTAGAAATGACACTCGGATAACATGTTTGATGGCATGACAAGAGGAATTAAACACAGGCTTTTAGTGCACAGTTGCTGGTTTGTTTTCTTACCAATAATCCTTTTATAGGTTTCCTTATGGGGTTCAACCCAATTGTCATGTTCAACAATGCAGTTGAACGGTGTCCCCTTGCTCCATTCCTCATACGTAATTTTAAGTGGAACGCTTATTGCGCCTTTGCTTCCTTTACTGAGGTTTCCAAAGGCTTGAGGTATTGGAGCTCCATTCTGGTCCTCCCAGGAAACCTTAGTGATGGATGGGTTGTGTACTTTGACATTACATTTCACAGTTCCTGATCCGTTTGAAAATATGTCCTCCATTGCAGGGCCTTCAATCGTTATCTCCGCATCTGCATAAATACATTCCTTAGCTGCAAAGTAAGGAAGAATTATTGAATAGAAATCGCCACAAAACAGAAAATGCAATTGCATTAAATTTTGTGAAGAAAAAGTAGGAATTTACTCACGACTTGGGACTGGCTCTTTGTAAGTCAACGATGCATTTATGTATGTTGGACCATGTTCACCTTTCCCCTTAAACTGACATGTTAACTGAGGGTCATTCCACTCACTGGATCGTACCGTGAGAAAACTTGCTGTGCTGTACAGTGTAGTTCCGTTCTCATCCTTTGTTGCCACAGGATCAGGTGTCATGACCTCATACTTTGAGTCGGGGATTTCCTCGTCGTCTTTCAGCCATTTAAACTCATAATCCTTTGGTGAAAAATCTTTGGCAAAGCAGGAGAAGGAAACCTTGGTGTCCTCATCACTGGAGGCCAACACTTTAAGAGTTGGCAAGCTATAAACTGGAACTGAAAAACAAACATACACACAAATATATATGTATGCAGAAGCAGGGAATCATTTATATATATGCAGAAGCAATGTCAAAGAAATTAGCTAAAATGCTCATGTAAACTAGAATTACTATGAACTATGCTTTTTCTGTACTACTGTGTGCTACCTGCACGCAGGCACATTGTGATTACGCTGCTCAGATTACCACTTACTGTAGCTCGCTACTAAATTGTGCAGAAAAAATTTAAATAAGATTTTCATAGTAAACAAAATTAAATAATAGAACAGCGGAGCTTTAATGCTCGCTTCTGCATATACACTGACTGCTCGGGCAAGCGAACACAGATTTAATGTTAATAATCAACAGACAGTGGAAGTGGGGGCAGACTGACACCAAGAAGAACTAGGATCATGCAGACAGATGGAAAGAAGCAGAACACATCGCAATAATCTGTTCAGAGACGGGTGCAGAGGACGTATACAAGCAAAGAATTCAATCAGCAGCAGCAGAGCTTCAGCCTTCTTGTTCCACCTCACAGTTTGGTTTGTTAGGCTTATTATGAAATAAAAAATATTTCATTTTGTAACATTTTATTTCAATGCTCTTTTCTGTGTTGATGTTCCTTTCAAATGACAGATTGCAGTGTATTTTTTTTTTTTTCTTAAATATTTAATTATTCCTCTTTTATGTTTATTTCACTCGTGTAAACATAACGGTTCCTCTAATAACATTTCTCAGGAAAACGCACAAAACCAAATAATAGAGACAGAGACAAACTTAGAGACTTAGTAGACTTATTGAACTTATAACACTTTAGCTATTTACAACTGTGATCAATAATTATTGTAAGTAAAATATTTTTTATTTTTGCTTTTACTAATTTATTTCAGTTTCCTTTTTGTCTCTCTTGTGTCTTGTTACAAAAAGCACTTTGTGCTGCATTCACTGCATGAATAGTATTATTTAAGTATGATTATTGTTAAATGATTATAACAACAAATGGTGTTTAACTAGAATTAGTTAATTACTGTTTGCAATAAGGTCATCAAATATTCCTGTATAACAATGAACAGCATTTGGAGATTATATTCTTATCCTTGTCATAAGCAGAGGTGACTAGAAGTAGCTTTGTAGTACTTTGTTCACTGCACTGTGAAATATAAAACTGTCTTTGACTGAGGATTTTCTGCTTTATCAGTACTCTGCCTCAAATAACTGGCAATAGTCACCCAATTAAGTAGATTAAATATATAATGTATCAGTAATATCCAAACAAACAGTTTTTTGTAATTTATGAATTCATTAAAAAAAAATTGAAATTATTAATTAATAGAATATGTTAACTTAATATCTCCACTAGATTTCAAATTATCTACAAAAATGGCATATATATATATATATTACATACAGTATGACGTAGTGTAAGTCTTACTTATCGGTTTAAAGATGACCTCTGCAGGTCCCGCTGCATGTGTCACGGCACATCGGAAAGTATTCTTTGCGTCCCAGTCCTGTCGGCTCACTCGGATTTGACTGACCCCCGTGTAAAGGCCTCCCTTTTGTATTGGAGGGTACTGAATGAAGTCAGTCAAGGCAGCGCCATTTACTTTGTTCCATGCAAAGGTCAGTGTGGAGGGTGTGAAGCCGGTGGCGAAGCAGCCAAGAGTGATTGTGGTTCCAGTCCCAGAACCACATTGCATCAGAGGAAACACAGTTGGTGCGGTTGCAGTGGCTAAAAAAGGAAAAACAAACGTGCAATTATAATTAAAAAATAAAATTCAAGATGACAGACATTTTCACCAAGTATTAGATATAACGGAGAGAAGACAATCGAGCCATTTAACATGTTGAATGTCAAAATTTTAAACGCTCTCAATACACGGACCCCTGTTTCCTTATGTCATGTATTTAGATGTTTTTGTTGCACCAAGTTTAACCTCCCTCAAGGATATTATTTGTGGTATTTATTTATATTGTTCTATATATAAATAGGTAAATTACTTTAAATGCACAACTTTGACAATAATCATTAGTAAATTATTTTAAATTGAAGGAATGGAAGTGTTAAGGCAGTTACCAGTTACCATCCATTATCATGACAATATTGATTACAGTCATATTGTTACATGAACATATTACTTTATATCAAATTCAGCAGTTATGCATGAAATTAAAGAGTATTCTTACCTGATGAAACCGTTACTGTTGTACCCTTTCCCCAGTAATCAAAAATACCGTAGTAGCACAGTGCTGAATCTACTTGGCTCTCAGTATGAAAAGGCTACATCTAAAAGTCTGCCTTTGTATTTGATTAATCCCACTATTTTATAAAATCCACTTCTAAACTAAAAACACCATATAGAAAAATAAATAAAGCCAAATATGTCAGCCGCAAATATCCACCATTCTGTCCTGTACTGAAAATATCGCTGTCCGAATTTTTTACAGAAGATATACTGTATTAAAACACTTTACGTTTGCAGTGAGATTTGACATGTCGAGAGGTTAACTTAAATATGACACTCAAACATACCCTGATGTTGTTTTTAAATGGAACAAATCTTACCTGATGACACTGTTACCATAGTGCCTTTTCCCCAGTAGTCGAAAGCCCAGTAGTCACAGTTAAGAGAGTCAACTCGCACTTCTCACAAAAACTCATCCCTTTAATATCCCATTACTTTATGTCATAAAGTCTGGTTTTGGCAACAGTTCAAATCGAACTATAATAAGCCGTTGTTGATAGACTTGCGTTCCAACTGAACTAAACAGTTTTAAGCCTTACAACACAAGTCTTGCTACACAAATTCATTGTCGGGCAACAAAATATTGTTCGCCGTCTTATCGCTGGCCATCAGTTGTGACTACATGAAAATTATAATAAATATGTAAGTAATGTGATCAGGAATTTGATTCTCTAATCAGAAATATTAAGATTCCTTACCTGAGGTGACGGTGACCATGGTGCCTTTTCCCCAGTAGTCAAAACCATAGTCACAGTTCAACAAACTATTAACCACTGCATACAAAAACCCGTTCCCAGATATCTACACATGGCATGGTTGGTTATCTCATGACAGTCTACATATTTACCTTGAATTACCTTGAAAGGATTCAGAAGATGGAACTAAACATGTTTTTCACCACCAAATTTGAAATTGATTCTACCAATTCACAACACATTTAACATGCAGTATCCCTGAAATGAATGACCTGCACGGTGTCACAACTTCATTTCGTAAAAAAATACCATTACTGTTTATAAATCTAAATGTCTACGTTAGAGAAAGAAAAATAAGAGTCGCTTACCTGATGTGACTGTTACCATCGTGCCTTTCCCCCAGTAATCAAAAGCATTGTCACAGTGTAACATGTCAACACATCCAACATACAAAAACAAGCACTAAATATGGTATATCACACAGTGCAATTACACTATCCATATGAAGACAAAGCTTCTTTTACCTGTTTACTTGAGATGGTCATCATTGTTCCTTTTCCCCAATAAGCAAAGTAGTAGTTACAGTGATGGGTTTCAACAGCTCTTTAGTGCAAAAATATTTAACAGCTTCTATCATCTAATAAATGATTGTACTTATTCAGTAAACTAGTGCATTTACCTACCGTTTACCTTGATCGCTTCGCTATCCTATTTGCTGTTACTATTCGTTATATGTCTATTACATCCTAGTTTAAGTGCAGTTGAAATCAACATCAATTTTATAATAAACCAGAAAAAATATTAAATTATCTTCACTCAAAATACATTTGATTATTACTTACCAGAAGTTACTGTGACTTGGGTTCCTTTCCCCCAGTAGTCAAAGTAGTCGTCACAGTGATATACTACAACGTGCTTCTAATACAAATACTAACAATGTAATTTAAACCAGGAAAAACATACTTACTGGCAAAGCAGTTCCCACTGCTCTATTTATTAACCACATCCCCCGAGATATGCATTTCCTGTGGTGTAGGTTACATAAAATGAAGTGTGAGTTGCCAACAGTTAGTGAACGCTTCCTCTGTATCAGACCCCCTGTCAGGTCCTGCTGCATAATGTTAACCTATTAACTAGCCTACAAACCTTGTGTATATTTTAGTTCTGAACATTTCACATGTTTTAAGATTGATTCCTAAGTTTTAATGTACGGAACACAACTATGAAAGTCAACATTTTAACATGAAGTGTGCTGGCATTAACTTATGCCTGGCTGCATGGAAGGTGAACATTTTATCTAAACAAATTGAAAGGATAAGGCCAATATTTTCTGAGGAAGTAAACAACCTGTTTGTGACAACTGTTTTCACAATTTTCTGTTCAATCCGAAGCAATGACCTAACGACAAACAGTCATTTCATTTCTGAGCTGTTCGCAGCTTGAGACCATCAAATCACTTTTATGAAGTTATTAAGCTGTACAGAAAGACTTATCACTGACACACTTCTCACAATCGCAATAATTAGGGGTGTAATGATGAGTTGCATCGATAGACAATTATAAATTGTCTATTCTATTGTAAATAGAATACATTTGAATCAAACAACACATTCTCACTGCCACCTGGTCAGTTGCCCTAAACTTCAAACGTTCACGTGAACACACTACTGCTTTATATCTGTTCACTGCAACTTTGCATTGATATTCGGGGACTTGTTACTTGTTGAAAAGGAACAGCAGCAGTAAAACGTTATTACACACTATGATGATTAAACTGTAAAAAAAAAATGAAACTCAATAAATCCGCGGTTCACGAACCGTGAGGGGTGATCCGAACCGTGAGGGGTGATCCGAACCGTGAGGGGTGATTCGAACCGATCACGGATCGATCCGTGATCCGTTACACCACTAAACGTGACTAGCACCACTAACGGCTCACGTGATAACGACTGACGTGGCAAAATGTCGACGTTGACTTTTAGTTTTGCACAGGACACCTTGCTCTTTATAGTAGGTCAGTTGCTCTGAGCGTCTAATAATGACGCGGGTGTGTTTATATTGGAGTTAGTTGAAAGTGCGGTGTGTCTGTATCAGACGCCGAGGGGCACTGACCAAGCGTCGGTATTTGACAAGTTGGGAGTGAGACCCGGTTGAAAACCAATTCTTCAATAAAAAGACTTATTTTCCCTTAAGCACTATATTACTATCGTGGCTGCATATCTCAAACAAACATACAAGCAGAGAATAACCAAGACATTTAGTTCAGGTGTTTGCAATATGTTCACCCTAAAGCACTATAGAAACTCTCTTACATCATTGCCAAAGCCACACCCACCTTTAGGCGTAAAGCACTGTCATAGACAAAATTACCCTTTTTTTAGCAAATACTCTGGTAGATGGTTTTTATAATTTACAATAACAACAAAATGGCTCACAATTTCTTTCAGCCAGTTAGTGCTTTCAACAAGAAAAAAAATACAGATTTGGTATTTGTCACACCACCAAAACATGAAACGGAGCATTAAGAGCACTGCCTGTCTTCAAGTTCTAGTTACATGAGACGCACATCACAGACCTACATAATTAGTTTGTTTGTGATAATATGGTTTGAACATGTTGTTTCATTTGTCCACCACATTGGTCATGAAATATCTTGTCAGCCATTGAAAAGATTGTCATTGAATTGTGTACAGACATTGAAGTTCCCAGAGGAATCCTACAGACTTTGATGATCCCCTGACTTTAACTTTAGCGTCACCATATAGTTGATATTTGTGGTTTTGATTGAAATGTGTCACTTACATGGATTTCAATTAAATTTGATACGTATTTTCGTGTTTATCTCAGGATGAATCCTACTAACTTTGGTGATACCCCC